GGGTGAGCCTCACCCGGCCAGGAGGGGCCGGTCCCGCCGTGTAGGCACCTGTAGGTGTAGGCCCCAGGTGCCTGTAGGCACCAGGTTTCCTACAACCCGTGCCAACATTTGCGTTCTCAGCCCGCGGGCGCTTTAAGGCTCTGCGGGGTTCGGGGGTGGCTCGGCAGTGTCCCCCGGCCGGACCCTTCCCCGGGGCAAGGACAGCGCTGGGGGACCCGGTGGGTTCTCACCTTTCTGGCTGGGCTGGGCCAGTTCTGCTCCTTGGGCTGCTCAGGTGGGCGCCCAGCAGCACTGACCGGGCCTGCGGTGGGAGGTATCAGCCCGGTATTCAAGGTATCAGCCCGGTATTTAAGGTATCAGCCCGGTATTTAAGGTATCAGCCCGGCATTTAAGGTATCAGCCCGGTATTCAAGGTATCAGCCCGGTATTCAAGGTATCAGCCCGGTATTTAAGGTATCAGCCCGGTATTCAAGGTATCAGCCCGGTATTCAAGGTATCAGCCCGGTATTTAAGGTATCAGCCCGGTATTTAAGGTATCAGCCCGGTATTCAAGGTATCAGCCCGGTATTCAAGGTATCAGCCCGGTATTCAAGGTATCAGCCCGGTATATAAGGTATCAGCCCGGTATTTAAGGTATCAGCCCGGTATTCAAGGTATCAGCCCGGTATTCAAGGTATCAGCCCGGTATTCAAGGTATCAGCCCGGTATTTAAGGTATCAGCCCGGTATTTAAGGTATCAGCTCCCCCTTTTCCTGAGGCTTCGGACTCACACACCCAAGGTCCCAACACCCCGATCTCGTTTTTAGGCACCCCTGACTGCCACAGTCACAGCACTGGATCATGACACCAGCTAAGGGACAGGCACGTGTTACAACAAACGGATTTTCCAACCCAGCTCAATTGGGCAGCCGAGAGCAGGTTTATGCCAAAGGTCTTCCCTGCCCCAGGATGTTGCCCTTTGTAATACCATGCAAGACTGTTTGTTCCCAAGCTTCTGCCAGATCTGTGCAGATTCTGTGGCTTTGATCTACATACCTGCAGCAGCTATCCAGGTGTGTGTGTAGCATGGAGAGCTATGGAACCCTCTGTGTGAGATTTAAGAGAAGTGTTGAGGTAGAATTGGGCCTTTTGGAAATTTACCGGAGTGAATCTCTCTCATGAGAACAGACCAGTGTTTATGAAAGATTTCTGGCTTTGAAGTTACGTGAGATCTTGTTCATGTGTTCCTGGGAAAGTGGCTTGTTCTGAGAAAAGGCACCAAGAGCACCAACAGGTACCGATGTTTAGTCTCCCCGAGTCTGCCCAGCTCACGGGACAGAGAACCCGGTGGAGCCCGTGATCCCAGGGGCTGCAAAATGTGTCCCCTGCGCTGAGCAGGGCCCGTGTTTGGGGGTTCATGTGCAGGTCCAGCCGCAGGTCCCCAGCAACCCGCTCCTCTGAGCGCCACAAAGGGGCACCAGAGACCATCAAACCTTCCCAAAGACGTTAGTACCTGTTGCTCACGCGTGGAGAAAATGCAAAGATCACCATCAATTTTTAAATATTTTGCTCTTCTGGGAACTGCGATGCAACGGTGGGGCTGGGGCTGTACCACGGGCTTCCCGCACGGCCCTGCTCCCTGCCATACAGCATCCCTGCCTCCCGGAGCTCCAGCACCTCACCTGCTCAGTTTTCTTGTGCCGGAGTTTACGGTAACATTTTAGGGAGCCGGAGGGGGC